TTTTTCCCTTATTTTTCTATTCTTATAATTATTCATAATACAAATGACATCAATACCTTTCTGAATTGCAAATACTACTTTTTGCAGGTTTCACATGTTGGTAATAATCTATATAACTTCATTTTCCAACAGATATGCCATTTTAGTATTACACTGAGGCTTAATTATCATTGTGGCTTCTCGTAGATGTTTAAAAACCAAACCCTGAAAACCACGCTTTACCAAAAGCAGCAACATGTTATTTCCACCCAGCTTTGCAGTGTCTATATAGATCACTGCAAAGCTGGGTGGAAATAACATGTTGCTGCTTTTGGTAAAGCGTGGTTTTCAGGGTTTGGTTTTTAAACATCTACGAGAAGCCACAATGATAATTAAGCCTCAGTGTAATACTAAAATGGCATATCTGTTGGAAAATGAAGTTATATAGATTATTACCAACATGTGAAACCTGCAAAAAGTAGTATTTGCAATTCAGAAAGGTATTGATGTCATTTGTATTATGAATAATTATAAGAATAGAAAAATAAGGGAAAAATACTTATTTCTCATGTTGTTGGTTTGTGTCTTAGGCAAAACCCTGCTGGAGAGCGGGGGGACAGTGCAGGGAGGAGAGGGTGGGAGTCTTTCTAACAGCTGATAAAAGCACCAAAAAAGCCCCACTAAATCACTTGATCTATACAGAGATCTGGCGAGCCAGGTTCAACTAGTGCACTGCCTCTTCTGGGCATGTGCTGGGTTCGGCATGGCAGCACAAGGAGTTTAAAGTGCCTAGTTTTTTAATATCTGCAAGCAGCCAGTACGCCTGAGATGAATTGTGATAGAAATATTCCATATGGTGCGTTCTAAAACAAATGAATGTCAACTGTGATTCAATTCCTAACATACTTCTATTAGCACATAAATAAAACAAATTTCTGGAGGTAGGGGATGTGACTAGTATACTTTATTTTCTTTCCTTTTTCCTGTGGTTTCTCTAGAGTAGGTATAAATAACATTTTCTATACAATCACATTTTAAAAATTGCAGTATGCATTTTTATTCTGTTATTTTCAGCAACAAATGCGCATGTAGGTTGTGCTAGAGTATTTGATGAATAATTAAAAAAGCATATAAGCTTCTTAAATATATTTAGAGATATGAAATTGATTTGCATCATGAACAACATGTACATTGAGAATCACATAGTACTTGTAGCATCACTGGTCTTGAATTTATATTAGTTTGAAATGGAAACCTGACAGTAGGAAGCCAGCCTTTTCCTTCTATCTGAAAGATTCCTTGTAAACCTGTTGCTTTTCTTCTCTTATGCTAGATATAATAAAAATGAAAATAGAAGAAAGCAAAAAGTACAAGTAAAATCTTATTTGTATCTCAGAGCCCATATTAACATTAGCAATAAAGGGAATTAGCTAGGTGGTGAGATGGAAGCTTTTTGACAGGAAAGTGACTTCCCTTTGGACACCAGAAATATGAGACTAATTTTCAGAGGGTCTGGAGGACTGGAGATGTAAAAGTATAAGTAGAAGAGACCATTGAGTTCAGTCCTCTTCAATTGCAGGTATAATGGACATGAATACTCTGGTCCCTCTTATACACCACAAGCCAGAAAACACTCCTCAGGGTCTTTTAACAAAAGTAGGGTCTTCAGAGCAACAGCAACAAAAAAAAGGACTCAAAGTACAGTGTGTCTTAGAAATAAAGCAGAAGAAACCAAGGATGCCATCTGGGCCCCTTCACTGGAAGGAAAGTTGTTGATCAAAATCCATGCAGATGATCCTAACAAGTGGGTCATGCCCCGTGCTACAACTGAAGACAACCCCCCACCACCTTGAAACAAAACAAAACCCCTCCAACAATCCTTGACAGTCTTATCTGAGGGGGTAAGATGGGGAATCCTTTGAAGGGGATTTCTTTTTTACCCTAAATCTGGCATTTGATTTAACCTGAAACATGGAAAGAAAAACCCATTAGGCAGGCAACTGAAAGTTTCCTCTGGATCACTAGGAGCACCAGTGTACATTGCTCAATGCCCCCTATCTTGCCATGGTCAATATCTGATGTCCCAGAGAGAGACTGAGAAAAACCTCACCATAGAGGAACCTACTTCAGGGCACAGAGGGCATACATGTCTTACAAGAGGCATATAGGAGAGCTCTGCCCTCTTGTAAAACAGGTATCCAGGTTTTCCTGCTAATGATTATAAAATTTAAATCTAAGCATGTAAATAGACTTCTCCCAAGAGAAAGTGTTTTGTTCTGGCTCCTACAGACATAGAGGATGCATCCAGGCGAGCGCAGACATGCAGTATGTGGGGTCACAGACCTGTCTGCAATGCAGCACACCACACATTAAGGTGTTAGCAGCGTGGGGGGTGGGGGTTGACCCTGGGATCTCTCCCCACAGCTAAAAAAACCCCACAGCTTAAAAAAAAAAAAAAAAAAAGGCAGGGCCGTGCACACTGCCCAAAACTGGAGCCTAGCTGGCCAGAACCACACTCCGGCTGCCAGGTAAGGCTGCTGGGGCCAGCTCAGCCTCCCCTACCAAACCTGGGGCAATGTGCCGCATGCCAGAGGGTGTGTGGCACAGGCGTTCCCCAGGGACAAGTAGCAGTGGCACACATTGTGCCGCTGCTGTTTGTCCCTGGGGAAGCTCACATTTCCACTCATGGAGATGCACCCATGGAGTCCATTGCCCCACTTGACCTGTGAAACGGTGTTCCTTCTGTGAGGTAATCGCAGCTCATTTAAGTTAATTGCCAATCATTCCAGAAACGAGCCTGTCAGGCTGTACTTCCCCTGGTCACCTTCTTGAAAAGAAACAGCAGGGCACCGTGTGTAAACAGCAGTGCTGCTCCTCTTCTGCTGTGGATTTTGACTCGGGTCAATCAGGACCACAACAAATGAGATGTCTTTTTAGTCTGACAGGCCAAACCTGCGGAAGTTACTCTTAATCTGCAGAAGTGACCATTAATTTGTGTATGTGCAGATTTGGGATTCAATTATAATTGCACATTTTACAGTGTTTGCTTCCAATTCCTTATTTTTTTCCTCAAATAATGTGGCCTCTGTCTTGCAGTAGTCCCTACACTTTTGTATAGTTGGGAGAGGTAACACTGTAAGTAATGAAGAAATGACATTCAGAGTTTTTTGGCAGATACCCGATTATTATACTGACAACATTTTACTTGTGGTAAAATTGTGTCAAACTCTCATGTAGCCTATTTTATTATAAATATTGCTTAGGCTTAAAATTAGTTAAATAGGTATGATTTTCTTATGATACCTTTCATCTGATTTTCCATTGTTTGTCTGGAAGTTACAATTTCAATGTCACATAAAACATTCCTTAATTTTAATAATATAGAAAATAAGTTATAATAATTCCCTTACAACATTTTGCATTAATGCAAAATTCTCCTCTCCCAGCAACTTGGAACAATACTTTTAATGATGGATAAGTAAGCTAATATATGGTGTTTTCATTTGCATCCACATTATGGGATATGTGTGTAAGTAAATTGTTTTCTTGAGCTCTTTTTTTTATTCGTAATTTTACAGGTTTCCTATACAGTCTTAATATATTATTTTTTACAAGCTTTTTAGCAAGTTGTTCACTTATACCTTAGATTCTGGCCTGTGTTGAGGGTAGTATGAATCCCAGATGAAAAGTCCAGAAGCACTGTGTGTCACCAAGGCTTGAGGCCTTCCAAAGCTTCCTTAGGTGTGTGTTTATTCTCTACAGCTGCAACTAATGCTGACCTGTTTTCAAAGGCCCAATACTCAGTCAACCACTAGGATTGCAGGTGTAGCTAGGTTCTATGACAGGGGCACCAGGAGAAACCTTGTGCCTTCCCCTGTTTATGCTCCCGTGCTCAAGACTGCCCCTAACCATAGCAGCTATAATCAAATATGCTTTCTTAATTTTCCAGAGCTGTTCTGCATGTATATTGTAGAAAAGAGACTAATTCATATGTCCCACAATGGAGTTTGAGACTTACATACATCTTTCATATGTTTCATTAATGGAGGAATGTTGTTGTAGCCACGATAATCCAGGAAACGGCGATCAGCAAGGCTTTTTGGTATTATCTTTTATTAGACCAGCTGTATAAATGGGAGAGAAGTTATACAAGCTGTGGGGCTTGTCTAACATCTCTCTCAATAGCTTTGCAGAGTACCTTGATGAAGGGCACTTTGTACCTGAAAAGTAATTAACATTTCTTGCAACTATACAATAAAAGATATTACCAAATAAACCTTGCTTCTTCAGTACACTTGGCTGTCATCCATACCCCAAGCTAAATTTCTATCATTTTGAACATAGAAGTAGAAACGTGTGCTTTGCCTTTGCACGTACTGGTTCTGTACCCACCTGATCTATTCTGCTCTTGCACAAAATGGTGTAAGCAGGGTTACTACAGACAGTGTGAGGTTGCTTAAAAGGCAAAGAATGTATGATCAGGATCTTGTCAGAGAATCCTTCAGCATATCTGGTCACCTTTCTGCCTTGTGCGACATGGTTGCAAATAGCTTTTTGTGGCAGGAAAGGAGGAAGATCAGAATTTTCCCTTCTCTTGAGGCAGAGGATCCTGGAAATGAGTCCTCTCCCTCCTAGATCTTACATCCTGGGAAAAGGGGACTTCGTTACTGACTGTCTGGAGACATTCAACCATCATTACAAACAAGAGAAACACTACCACATGTCACAGTGAAGAAGCAGTCATGGACTCTCCCTGAGATTTGGGCTCAGGTTCCAAATAACAAATATGCAGCACCTGCTGATTTAGGGCTTCTTGCTCAGGATTCCATTCAGACACTACAGGCATAGTATAAAGGTAGGGTGCAAGATGGCAGGCTACAAAGTCTCACCACAACATGGTCAGGCTCTGGTCAGTAGTGAGGACTGAAAGTCTAGTCCATTGAGATTTGACTGCTTTTGTTTCTGGTAGAGATTACTTGTTCCATTAAAAAGAAAGTTTTTTTTGTTTTCCTTCCCCTTAGGTGGAACGTGTTGGGTATTCAAGGAGCCTTACTTAGCCTCTTTGTGGAGCCAATTTACTTCTCTAGCATCATCTTGGGGAGTTTATATCATGGGGACCATCTATCCAGAGCAGTATACCAGCGGATAGCAGAGATAGAAGATCTACCAACTCTGTATACACTCAACAGACCTTTACTTAGTGGCAAGTATCTAATGGGGAAGGCTGTGCCGGTAACTGAATCTATTCCAGCAGTAACATAATATTGCAGTTCTCAAAACATTGCAAATTATGTACTGTGAGCAAGTTGCTTTGTGGCTACAACAAGGAAGTTATGATCCAAACTTAAGAAGTTATATCGACTAGAATTACCATTTCAAGGCCCTTTTGCGTGTCGAGAGACACTAATAAGAGTCTCTGGAGTCTTCTGTGAGAACCATTTTACATGGCTGTATTTATCTATTGTCTTCAGAATTCAGACACCCCAGCGGTACATCAGTAAAGATGAAAGCCTGGGTTTGGTGAAAATTTTCTTCCCTTCCCATCCTCAGAATAGTGTGTCACTGTTACTTCTCTTGCCATTGCAGATATTTGTTGAGCAGTCTACGTCATTGGCAGTGTGCCAAGATGCACAAACATTTGGTTCACAATTTCTAGATCAATAATCAACCAAATATGGATGGAGAGAACTTCCCAGCTGCCATTGGTTGTATTTTCTTCCTGTCATCAAGCTCTGTTGGATGCAGCATTGGCTTTAATTAGCATGGCACCCAACTTGTATGCATGGCCCAATTACTATAATAATATTACTTCAACCTTGTAGGTTGGGGCACAGATGCTGCATTTGGAGCCCGGTGGCACATCTCTTAGGATTACTTTTAAATAGATTGTGAAACTGATCTGGTGAACAGAACCATGACAATCTTCAGCTAGTGTAATTAACTAATGTTGCAGTTATCTTTTGCAGCTGCTGTCTAATACTCTAAATACTGTTTTTAGAATTTTGTTAAATAGTAGGGCTAAGAGGAATGGCAGCATTTGAATTCAAAGGTCCTTCTCAACTAATCCTTCCCTAAAAGGAAATGTTTAGGTATTTTAACCCATTTCAGAAATAAGTTTTCTATCAGTTAATGCCACAATAGTTTTCTATCACAATAATGCCATGAAAGCTTTAAAATGAACATTTCTTTACCTCTCAAAACATGCGTTTCCCCAGCGCTGTGTGCACTGCTTTGTTTTGTACAGCTTGGCTTTTAGCATGTGTTTGTTTATATTTTAGAAAAAGTAGCATTTTAAAAGCATGTTTAGTGAATGACATGAATTTGCAATTAGACAATAAGGGATGGGAATAAAACATCAGATTAACCAGTATCTCTCTAACTAGAAACAGAAGTGTTACTAAATACTACCCAGCTCAGGAAACAGTCAAGGGATAAGAGTTGCCTACCCATTAGTATATGATAGTAACTAGTAACTGCAGCACGCAAAGCTCTAAATAGTAAATATTGTTAAGGCCACAATAACTGACTTACAGAGATTTTTCTTAGTTTGTTGTTGCAGCCTGATTGTGTGCGTTTCCTCGATTTTGTATTTAAATTGTACATTCCTCAAAGCAGATTCCTTGTTGCTTTATGGTCTCTAAGGTGCTTAGTTCACTTTCAGTTCTATATAGTCTAGCTGTAGAATTTTATCTTTACCTATCATGAAATAGTCCTGTCTGTTTCAGTACTGCTGCCAGAACTATATCATCACTGACTGATTTTCTGAAATGTTCTGAACTTTCAGACTGAATGTGAAATCTCAAAAAGAAGGCAATGGGGTGAAGCAGGTTTTATTTTTTTTTTCCTCCATTTATTTAGAACAGCTTGACTCTTTAAAATCCGTACTGCCAGTACCACAGCTGGATTCAGCTAGTGCAACTATGTAGTCATTGATCCACTATCAGGTCCACACCTCTCCTAATGCACTACTCTATGGAGATGCAAATGAAGCTCCACAGACCAGGGCAAGCTTAATGAATCCTAATCCTCTCTCTCCCTGCACAGCTGTGCAGTTTTGGTTGTATTCTGATTCAGCTAGAGGGGGGAATGTAGTGTGATTTAAAGGTAGGAACATCTGCTAAGTGATAGTATTGCTTTCTCATTGCTCATTCTCTCATCTATATTCGTAGCAAAACTATATTTTTTAAATCAAATGTAATGCCAATAGAAATAGTTGGATAAAGATGTACCATTAGAAATTCCAAATTCATGTAAGAAAGGGGAACATCCTGGCTTAGGCAGTATGATGACTATTATATACATATAAATCATTAAGTATGCACCAAAAGCTTAGGTCTAAATACTAAATGAATACAAGCAGAGGAGAAGTTCATGCTGCCTTCAGTGAAGACTTAGCATAAAAGGGACACCAACTAAGCAAGTAGATTGAAAAAGCAGTCAGCAAGTAGGAAATTTAGCATGGTCCTTGAAACTAGTTGCTATGATGGTGGGTGGCCACTCCCTGGCAACCTGCATGCATTCAAAAAAATGCAAAGGCTTTTTCACTATGAAACAGAAACTTTCTTGAGCAACTGTCCTCCTAGGGTCTGATGCTGCTGAATGTGTCACATGCACAGGAAACTGCTTTACTTGGGGGGGAGGGGAGGGGGGCTAGGACTGTTCAACAGAGCTATACCTGCACAGTTGGTGTCCTTGCTTCCTGCTAAGAGTACAAAAAGTAGAGCAGCTCCAACAGTCCATCAGCTCTTAAGGCAGTAAAACAAAATCCCCGAAGAATTGTCAACTTTTTCTGTACACTGTGGGATATTTATTTTCCCTTAGCTTTGTACATAATTTAAAATAAGGTAGTGTAGACATTTCTGGTTTTATGTCTGGGTACTGTATATGATTTCTTAGCTTTCAGTTAGCCTACTGTCTCTTACAGGGTACTAGCATTTTGGCAGAAGTCATTGGGATTTAAGACCTGACCTCTATGCAATATTTCAAGGTTTATTAACAACAGTCTACTCTCTGTTGGAGGACACATCCCAGAATGGTCTTCCATTCATTGCTCTTTCTCCAAGCACATTCAGAGAGTAAAGGAAGCTGTTCTAACTAATGAGAGTTATATATGCTTCAGACATTGAGCAGAGGCCACAGCCATTAGTTGATTTCCTCTGTTTATTCCCTGGTTAAAGTATGATTCCATGCACAGTTCTTGAGGCCCAGTTTATCCACTATACATAAGCATCAACTTCTGAAAGGGGAAGAAGGGAACACCACTCAAAAGATGAATCAAGGCACAGAATTCCATCTTCAGCACCAGGCAAGCTGATTCAAAATAGTTACCAGACACAAATCTGGGGGTCTTCTCAGGTATAAAGCCATTAGGTGAATGAGCCAAAGCTCAGAGTGACAAAATGGTGATGATGATTGTTGTAAGCAGGTTGCCAAGCCTGCTGGCTTCTGAAGAGTTCCTCAGCCAGCATTCCCAAATGATAGGCTTTTAAACAAACAAAATAAGCAAAACAAAATCCTGCTGTCCTGTCCCAGACTTGGGGAAGATATCCCCTTTTTGCTCTGGCTCTAGTATAGCGGCCTGGACCCTCTGTGCAGCAAGCAGTTGAACTTAAAGCCTGCCTGCTGCTTTCCTCCTTGCAAATTGTCCTCTCACAGTTTGCTGCCTATCTCTTTCCTCTAGGGTTTTAAGCTCCCAGTGGGATACTTCATCATTATCCAAATGCCCCACAGTTGAGGTGCCTCAACAAGGCTGACTGTTCCCTCTTAAAGGGACAGACTGGCCTGTTAAAATGATAATAACAGTAATGTATCCACATGGAGGTTATATGATTGGACCTCCAACTGTGTAAGGACTGTGCGGGCCGGCTCCCAGTCCCGTCCTCGCCGGGCGCGAGCCGGGCCCGTCTGTGTGCACGCGGGCTGGGGCCGGCAGCCCGGGCCCGCGGGGCCGGAGAAAAGTCGCGGGGTGGAGTAGTACACTCGAGCTAGAATTAGTCACGGAGGCATAATGGTTGATTGAAAAGATTATTTACTTACACCGGAGA